GCCCCTGTGTCCTTGCCCACACCCAAAAAAGCCTATGAATAAGCCAATGAAAGGTACCAGGGGCATCTCATGGGGCCCCCTACTGGCCCCGGGCCCTCGGGCAGTGCCCGAGTGCTCAAATGATCAGTCCACCCCTGCACCTAGGTAAGTATAATTTGGGAAAATACCCAAACCATACTTCTCTTTTAAATCTGATTGTTCGCTGCATTTTCCACATGATCATTGCTCTTTGCACTGCTCTGCTGATTAGGCATGCAAGTGTAAAGCATTGGCATACGGTATTTGGCAAATAATGCTGGATTTATTAAAGTCTAATTGATACCACAGAACCAGATATTCTGTCAGACAGACCTTGTATTAACACCTTCAGTTTTCATAGTCTTACCTCCTCTTTCCTGTTATAATAGTTGCTGAGGATGTCTAAATACAAACCCAGTGCACTTTAGAATTTAACAGTCCTGGCATCGCTATGAAGGCCAGTCCTGGTCTGGCGTTGCTATGGGGGTGCAGACCACACTCAGGTGACACCATCAAGTAGGTATATTCTGTGCGATGACTGGAGGGAGGATATGAATGGTGGGTTCTCTGTCAACCCCATTTCTCTTCTTCCCATTGCAGGACAAGTCCGGCTTGCTTCTCCTCCTGGATGTAGTGACATCATCATGCAGTGTGCATGCCCAGTTGTCCTGGTAATGGGTGGCTGTTATCTAGGCAGAACTGAACGGAGTAAAGGTGGCCAGGGGAGAGGTGGCAGACCTCCTGAAGGAAGGAGGTGCAGAGGAATTGTATGCAATGTGAGAATATGGAATGCAGGGAAATTAAAATTGAAGGGGAGGATGCAGGGGAATTATAATTGTGTGGGTCTCCACCCTCCGGTAAATATAATTGAAGGAGGGGACTACAGGGAAATTATATGTAACGGGAGGATATGGGGGTGGGGGAGGAATAACAGGGTAATTTGAATGTGATGGGGCAGGGGGAAGTGCCAGTGGGTAATTATAGTAGTGGAGTGGGAGATTTATGATGGGAGGGGTATGCAATTGTAATAAGGGAAATATTATGGGGTAATTATAATTGGGGGGGGAATTGGGGGGTAATTAGAACTATGAAATGGGGGTGGGTGTAAGTAATGGCGGAGGGGCATTTCACAGAAATTATATGTAAGAGAGAGGAGGTTTTGTAAGGTAATTGTAATGGGGGTTGTGGGGCAATTAAAAAATTTTGGAGGCGGTGACACCATGTTTTACCACACCAACCATAGCCTAGTGATGCCACTGCTGAAACACCTCCTCTTTTCCTCCTCACAATGCATCTGTAAAAGGACAATTGTGGTGAGGGGTGTGCCCATTACTCAGCTATGCCAGCATAGAGCACTGCAGTGTGAGTGCAGGCACCACATTTCCACTAGGAGAGTAAGGTATTTTAAAGCATTTCCAAGCCAAAATTGGTTAAAAAAATGATAGGGCGGGGTTGTGGCCATCGTGGCGATGTACTGCATATCTGGTGGTCATGCCCGAGGTTGGTTCGTTTTTGGTCTCGTGTGTTTGGCCTCCTTTTCACTTTGTTTCATCTCTCCATACGCCGGGATGCTCGGTATGCTTTGCTTCATTGCCCCATACCGGGCCTCTTGGCTCGTCAGCACGTTTCGATTGGCTTCCTATTTGTTTTTATCAGCCACTAGGACAATTGCCCAGGCCTGGAAGAGTCCGTTTGTACTTTTTCAGTCGGGGGTGCGGGATCGTATGACTACTATGATGCTCAATGAACAGATGTCGAGTATATGCAATGACTCTCAACATAAATTTTTGAAAATATGGGAACGTGGTTGCAATATGCCTTTCCCACGCTCCCCCCGGCCAGTGTAGGGAGGTGATGGAGTTTTGTATTGGCGCTCATGGACCCTTGCTCTCTGGGTGTGTGTTTTTGTTTTTTCTCTTTCTTTCTTCTCTGCTTTTCTTCTTTCCTTTTCTGTTTGTTTTGATGTGACAGTGGACAGCTGTCTTTAGTTGCGATAATCTGAGTTTCACTGATGTTATTGTTACCTATGTGCCATTGATAGCCCCTACGTGGGCATACGTTTTGCCTTATTGGAATTAGAGCGTTGTCTGCTCTATTATACATTTTCTATCGGTGCAATTGATAGCCCCTGCGTGGGCGTGTTTTGTTGCCTCTGTTTTATACTGTTTAAAATTAATAAAAACCATTGAAATACAAAAAAAATGATAGGGGCCATAAAGAAATAAAAAGGTGTGAGACATCAACTGGACTTTAGAAGAAAATGTTGAAATTGATCCTGCTAAGATAACCTCTACATTTCCATACTTTACATTATGTACATGCAATACCTTTATTAAATCTATAGAGAAATCAACACGAGTACATACTTGGGCCTGGATTCACAGCTATGCATTACAAGTGCATAGTAGACTGTGTTTTGCTGCATGTTCCCACACCACACAGTAACTTACGAACCGCAGTGCATTGCCAATCATAATAACAACACACCACATCCAGCCCTATAGTTTCACATTGTTTGTGATTGAAGTAAGTGATTAGTAATGTGTTACTATTGCAAATAAAAAGTAGATACATAGGTGGAGAAAGAAGTTGCCATGATCAACTATCACACATTAAGGCTAGGTTCACATACAGTATGTGCGGATGGTGCGGCTTCGGATCCGCACGAAAATCCGTGCGGCCGCACCACCCGCACAGAGGAATGCGGACCCGCAGGTGGGTGCCATTAGTTCTAATGGGCACGCTGCCCCCACTGGAAAACTCAACTGTACTGGGAACCAAGGTTCTCAGAAGACGTGCAGGGGCTTCTTCCCTGCGTGACACGGGGCACGGGAGTCCATTCAAATTAATGAGCTCTCGTGCCTGTGCAAAATGCGGCCCGCAGGGCTGCATATATGTGAACCAGGGGTAAGAACAGTATGATTCCTATAATTTCTATAGAAAGAAGCTTCTATAATTTGTATTACCAGTTACTACAGTTCTGGCCTAATCTTACACATCTATTCTTAAATGTAAGTTATGGACATCAATTCCCAAGAACAGAGGAGAACACATCCAGGGGCGGACTGACCATTTGGAAACTCGGGCACTGCCAGAGGGCCCAGGGTCAGCAGGGGCCCCATGAGATGCCCCTGGTACCTTTTTCATAGGCTTTTTTGAGTTTGGGCAAGGACACAGGAGCCCCATGATCCCCTATTGCCCAGGGTCCCCATGAATTGTCAGTCTGCCCCTGAACACATCCCAAATAATAATTCCAGAAATGAAAAACAAAAAATACACAAACCCAACTTCTTTGAAGCTGAATTTAGGAGAAATAGCTAACTACATAGGTTAAACTCACTCTCTCATCTAAATGCCTGAGGTGGAGGCAGGCATTCCAATAATGTGACCACTGTAATTGGCAGTCGCAGAAGTCACATGATCGCAAAGCTTCTGATCACAAATATGCTTCACAAGCTTTCAGATACCCATTTGTTTCTGTGCTGGGAGCATGCACATGCACAGTAAAGTGTTTACCTAGGGCCGTATATATTCGGCCACTCGGCGTTAAGGCCCACTTGCCCAGAGACCGCAAATATGTGCCAGGTCGGTGGAATGTGGTTAAATACATATATGAAAGCTGTCCTACCTGCCAAAGGATTTGTATTTGTGTCTATTTATTAACAAGAGTTACATTGCCCTGCCAGGCAACATGGCCAGCCTGGAGAACTTATTTACCTATTGCAGTTAGAGGAGCTCCAGTCCCCCCCCCCCCCCAAAAAAAATTTAAATTCAGCAGCTACAAATACTGTAGCTGCTGACTTTTAATATAAGGACACTTACCTGTTCAGGGATCCAGCGATGTCCTCACTGGAGCCAATTCATTGATCAGCTTCGGGTGCAGGCCGGCATGTTAGGTAAGGAAAGCTGGCAGTGAAGCCTTTTGGCTTCACAGCCGGTTTCCTACTGTGCATGTATGAACCGCGCTATGCTTTGTGAATGGTCCCACAGTCTTCTTGGACCTGTGATGTGTCCCAGAAGTCTGCGGTAGGGGGTGAAGGAGGAGGGGAAAAATGTTGCTGTGGTGATTTGACCGGAAGTGACGGTACCTGTCAAAACCAGGTACCTGCTCCCCCCCCCCCCCAAAAACAAAAGTACCAAATGTGGCAGTGGAGGGGGGGGGGGGGGGAGGGAGATGCAAACAAGCGGAACTTACCCTTTTTGGGTGAAGTTCCACTTTAAGTAATAAAACTAGATCTGGTCTCCAACCTGTGATTAACCAGTAAAGTAGAATTACATCTCCCTCTTTTGTTCCAAGTACTGGTGTACTGGGGCATTGCAAGAGGCTGGTACCAAGACAAATGCAGACACTTACAGTAATTGCTTTTAAAAATACACTTAATGTTTTTTTAATGATCGCATGCCTGCATGAACTTTTTTTTTTTAATCTGCCAAGAGTTCATTGCTGACCGTAGTCCTTCCCTTGAACTGTGACAAAAGTGTTCTTATTGCTGTCTGTGTCCACATTAAAGACATTTTTTGGTGAGAGCACAAATCAGGATGGGAAGTAAGAGGAAAATGTCCCCAGTGAGTACACAGGTAACCATAAAAACACGACAAAAGTTCTAAGCATTTCTCAGTTTACAACAAAGAAAAAACAAAAAATCTGGGCTAAAGTTCCTCTTTAAACTTTCCTTTAAAAATAAAATATACCTGAATGGTTAGAAAAAGCAGCACTTCCACTTTTTTCTTCAGTTTGTATAAATCATATCTTGTGTGCAATAGATTTGTAGGGAAATGCTCTGCATTGCCACCTACATACTGTAGGCGCTTTTGCTTTTCATAGCCAGCCAAGAATTCTAGACATTTTATCTGCAAAGCATCTAGGTATGAAGTATATGGTTCATCTGAAATGGCTTTATAAATGGTTGTCTTGAGATAATGAGACACCTGTAAAGAAATGTTAGTACATAAGGAGCGCCATAGATGTTAGCTGTACATACACTCTCTGGTACCTTGAGACCCAGGAAATAGGAACTACAGCCATTGGGTTCTTGAGGTTTGTAGTCTGGTCTAGGAAGTGGAGCTTTACCTGAAATAAAGAAATCATAAAACATGTTAATAGAAAGCATCCAAAATATTATTTAAAAACACCCACCTACACTACCACCAGTGTTTCAAAACCAGTACTTCACACTTAATTCAATAATAAAATCTCCTTCTAGCACCATATCACTGGAGTCATGTACAGTAAGTATCACCACCTACACTACCACCAGTGTTTCAAAACCAGTATTTCACAATGAATTCAATAATAAAATCTCCTTCTAGCACCATATCACTGGAGTCATGCACATAAGTACATAAGCATCACCCTATCAGGGATATGTATCAAACATGTGCTAGCACAAACAAACAATTAGGGATGCATCGATATAGAGTATTTTCACTTGTACTCATGAAAATGCTCCCAATACTGGAAACCGATACTTTGCAGTGTGATTTGCATCAATATAAAATGCAAATAGTACCGCAAAGAATAGCATGCAATTTCAGCAGGAATGCAATTCCTGTCCAGATAGTATGCAGTTTCTGAACCGCACTTGTCATAGCCTGCGTTCACACAGGAGTGGTGTGGTAAACCTTCCTGCAACAATCCCATGCTGAGCGGAGAGTGGGAGAGAAGGGTGTGTGGGGATGTAAACCTTTGTGCCACATGCTCCAGATTCTTAGCTGTAGGAGAGGAGATAAAGCCGCAGAGATTCCAAATCTCTAAACCTGTGAAGCAGCTTTCTCTCCTCTCCTTGCAGGGATGACAGTACAGGCTAGATGGCTTCTGATTGGTCAGCAACATCCATGTGACTGTCATCCAATGGTCATCCCTGCAAAGAGAGGAGTGAAAGTCGTGGCTGAGAATCCGAAGCATTGCGGCAGCCTTCTCTCCTCTCCTATCTGGAGCATCTGCCTCCATCTGCCACATCCCCACACACCCTTCTCTAACACTCCCCGCTCAGCATGGGATTGGGTGCAGGAAGGTTTCCTGCACCACTTCTGTGTGAACTCAGGCTATGACAATCTGAGTTCACACAGGAACGGTGGGGAAACCACATGTGATTTGTACAGAAATCGCATTCCTGTTCAAATTGCAAACTATTCTTTGTGTTGTAATTTGCATCCATACATTTTGTATAGGTATTGGTACTCGGTATCGGTGAGTATTTGACCAAAAGTATCGGTACTCATACTTACCGATCAAAAAAGGGTATCGGTGCATCCTACAATTATGGTCTCTCCATAATAATAAACTGCCAGCTGTAATTTCTATAGTGCAAAGGTTAAGATTAAACAAAAAATTCCAAGTGGTTGCTATGGGCAACGAGGCATTCCCTTGCTAGCCTCCTTTTGATACATAAACCCCTAAGGGTCTTATGGATCAAGATGTATGGTGGACTAGAGAAAGTTTTCATCGGTCTCCAAACAGATCAGACTTATTCTGAAAGTTTAAAATTGGTAAATGTGGATAACTGCCACCAGGCTACTTGGTAAGAGCCTGTTGATATGTAAGGTTCTAAGTGTTCACATCAGAACTACTTTTCTTCCAATACATGTCAGCGGGAATGCAAAAGCTCCTTAAAACAGCTATAAAGCTAAGGAGAGAGAGCTGTATTGGTCATGTGCTTTCCATTCAAACACAGCGCTGCTTAAACAAATGCATTCAAAAGAGAAACATTCTTTGAATTGTAGGTCAAAAGCAGACTTTTCTTGACAAATGAACCTCTGTAGGACATGCTGCCTCCAAAGAAATGAAGCACAAAGCAGGTCAAAAGCAGCCCCTGAACGGTCACCTCCATTACTCCATTAAAGTCAATGGGAAAAACCTGATGTGTGTTTCAAACACACAAATGAGAGCTTAAGCAGTTTACAAGGCAATTAGAAGCAGCTTCAAAGGAACTGTGAAGGACCTCAGAAGCATCTCAATCTCATCTAGCTTAATGTGACAACATATGACGTTACATAATAGAACTAGAATAAATCTTATATGTCCCCCTGTGTTCTATAAATCTTGTCATTTTCTAATCATGTTAAACAGTTTTATTGGAAACAACTACAGACTAGTGGTTCTTAAAGTCCTACAGTCAGCAGATCTTTAAGCAATGTATTGCAATTTCTCCATACAATAAGGCTGCCCATGTATCTTGAAAGTTCTGTCGGTGCTCCATAATGCAACCAATAACTAACATGACCCATTTTCTAAATGTAACTTGCTGCTTTTTTTTAGTGTGTGCCACTCAGAATGGACCAACTGGTCCAGGGGCTACAAGACTCGGGCAGTTACTAGTGCAAGGAGCTATCCTATTAGCTTGAGGGTACACTGGCTTCAGGATGTCAGTGTACAAGCACAGCTATGTTAGATATCAACTGGATGCAAATGGCTGGTGTTTTGGCACTTCTACATGGGCATTAGCGGTTTAATAGTTCTGGTCTATGCAGAATGTATACTACTTATACTTTTTTTTTATAGAATACCCTTATCATAATCGTCACAACATTTGACAATTTGGAAAACATTTTTGGTCTGATTATGCCTGAGCAGAAATTGTATCCAAGATAGCTGGAATGCTTTCTGCAAACATCGGGAAACCAGGTCTGTTCATGAGCCCAGTGTCTGTAACCTCTAGTTAACCTAATTTGCGAGCTTGTAAGGCCGTCAAACAATTGCATCAGACAGTCCTCTTCCAATAATATGGTCATAGTGCATGGATAAAATCTTGAAAGGTCCCCCCCTAATCATCTTACTATATGTAGCTCACATTGCAGAAATTATGTACAAGTAAAAGTCAACTCCAACCAAAATTTTTAGTCAGTATCCCTATTGGAGGGATTTCCCCTTACTTCCTATTCTGTCTGAAATCTGTCAAAGAGACAGAAGTGGGGAGAAAAACATACCTATACAGGGTAATGCAGCCAGTAATACAAAGTAACTAAGGCTCTAAATCTTCCTCATGCTGTCCAAAACAAAACAGAAAACATGAGTGCTACCTCTGTCTTACCGTCCCCAATGGAATATCAAGATAATTGATTTTTCCACCATTTAAAAGCTTATTCTGCTCTAAGCATATCCAAAACAATAAGCTCTGTTTCTAGCTACTAAGGTTCACTCTGTACATGTAACTTTTGAAAAAGTCCATCTGAGGCAAAATTAAAAATTAGACATGCTACAGTCATAGCCTAAAGGTTTTTCATCCACTAGACCAGGGGTGTTGAATTAAAATTCACCAGGTCTGGGCAGTAAAATTTACATGCCTCAGAGGTCTGCATCTCATGTAGGAACCTGTGGTGCATTTTCGTGTGCGCCAAACTACGTGTTGCTGTGTGGCAATTTTGAAAAAAAAAAAAAAAAAAAAAAAGAGTCGAGGACTTCTTCAGGTTTCTAGAAGGTAATGCTGACCTACCCACAACGTGTGCACCAAATGCGCATGCATAGATCTGAACCTGTTCTCACATCAGTGTCCTCAACCCCCACTGCACATCATAGTCCCCTCCTCATTCACAGCAAGATCCCCCTTGATGAGTGTCTTCAACTCCCCCTTTACATCACCCGTCTCCACCCCTTTCACAGTAGTGTTCTCACACTTCCTTGAAATCAACCCCCCCAACAGTACTGTCCTCTGCTCCATTCACTGACGAGTAGTCTGCCCCTTTTTACACATCATCTCCCCCACATTAATGTCCTCAGCCCCCCTCCATGTTACTCCCACTTTAATGTCCTCAGCCCCCACACACCACAGTCTTTAGCCCCCCATTACTGTCTTAAGCCCCCCCCCATTCAGTCCTTGGCCCCCCTTCACATTAATGTCCTTAGGCCCTTTAACCTCCCCCCCCCCCCCCCCCTGCACTGTCTTACCTTACACAGACAGTGATTGATAGACATTGATTGCTAGGACTGCCCTTCCTCCTAGCAACCAATCAAGTGCTTGTTAACCTCAGGCAGCACCCACCCTCCATCCAGAACTGTCCTGCCTCCCGCTGTCAGCTCTGTGAGGATGACTGCAAGACAGCTGGGATAAGAAAAGGCTCTTAAATGGCAGGACTGCACGGGTCCAGATGGGACAGTGACTCGGTCCACATCCAGATCCGGTCCGCCATTTAGTGACGCCTGCACTAGACTGTCCCAAATTAAAATCACCTTGTTGCCAGAAATCTGATGTTCTGGCACCATCAACTTGTTGCACAATATAAACTTTGGTGAATTATGTCAATCCATCCCACTGTTTTCTGCAAAAAGTTGGCGGATCCATCACTACGTAGATAGTCATACCCTTCCACTCTCCTCTGGGCTCTGTAATAGAGATAGTCTGGCTTTGCTCAAAAACTCCCAGTCTGTCCTGAATTCCCACTTAACATCAGTTAATTCCCACCTAATCAGTTACTACCTGCTAAAAACATGCTTCAATGGAAGGAGTGCCAGACCAAATGGCAAAAATGTCCAAACTGATTTATTGGTTTGCCCTAAATAATAATAAAAAAAAAAAGGCAAACACATTTTGGAGGTCAGAAAACACTCCCTTCTGTGCTCCTTTCATTGGTGCATTTGGTAACCTGCTGGGTACCCACTGGAGGGCAATTGTCTGTTGTGAGCAGCCCAACCTGAGGCAATGGGCACTCCAAATGTTTTTTTTCTTCTCACTACTTTGTATGAACTCACATCAAAATCCCAGTACATCTTCAATGTTTGATTTCTTTATTGCATTTACTACCTGCTGACTAGCCTCTGTAAGTTAGCGGCTTGGCTACCACCACTAGCTTGAGGCTGGCCCCCTATCTCTTATTAATAACTGATGTGATCCCAACAAGAAGCTGTTCTCAGAAGTGCTAGTGGTGTGATTGTAGGGAGACACTTAATAGGCATGTTCACTAAAGAGGGCACTTGATTACGGAAGCTGCTGTTCAACAAAGGCTTATAGCTGGTACAACAAGCAGGTTTTTGTTTTTTCTTTCAACCCAGCGGACTGAACAAAAAAAAAAAATGTAAGGGCTCGCTGTACTTTATTATTATTATACAGGATTTATATAGTGCCAACAGTTTGCTCAGCGCTTTACAATATAACGGGAGACAATACAGCAACAATACAGTTCAATACAAGAGAGTTAGGAGGGCCTGATCCTTGGAGCTTACAATCTAGGACATTGCATAGTTAGTACAGGGAGCCCCTCCGTTTTTTTTTATGCTCAGCCCGCTGGGCTATTGTGTTCTGACAAGGGGACTGCCCCCCTGAACAGAACCAGAACAGACAGGTCAGCACTGATCAGATGCTGATTGGCAGATGTTTTTCCAGCATGCCTGTTTGACAAAAGCCTGACAGGCTGCTGTACACATGGGTGAATGTTGGCCGGTTTCTGTTGAACCAGGTTTTAACCTTGTAGTATGACAACTCTGGCAGCTGCCATAGAGGTACTATGTCTAAGCGCCTCAGTATATCCTAATACAGCAGCATTCCATTGACAATGTAATGTAGTCAAATGTGGGATCAGGTCCTGTTTATTACTTTCCTTATCCCTAAAAAAGGCATTAAACTCAAAACCATTGGATGTGATGGCTGCATTAGTTTTATTTTTTAGGCTCTCTGTTTTCACCTGGTGATCTGGCCAGTAATACACCTCCTGTATTAGAGTGTTCCCACTCTGGCTGAATGAGCACAGGGGGCACAATTGGACAGCAGTATTGTTACTCTGGAGGGAGGGGAGTATTGGATGTACTAGCAGATTTAAATACACTAACACATAGAAGCAAAACTCCAGCTAGCACTTTATAAGCAGTTACAGCTTTTGGGGGAAAGGTTACATAAATAACGAAAACTGATCATTGTAAGCACTGCCAGTGTTGTATCATATATGTCTCATCCCTGTAATGGATACATCTGCAAGAGAGCTTGCTTTTGAAAAAATGACAGACGTACTGGTCAGATCACCAAATAAGAATAAAAGAAGGCCAAAGAAAACTAATACAGCCATCACATCTAAGAATATGTAAGCCGCAATATAATAAATGTTTGCTTTTGGGTTTTAAAATTGGTTTAATATGTCTGATTAAATATACACAGGTGAGCTTTACATAAAATCCCTCTTAGATACAACTAATCAATTCAAAGCCAGATCTTCCCTAAAGGGAACGTAAGATAGAAAATGGAAGCTGTGAGAATAAGCATGGAGGATGGGAATTCAATTTCAGATTGCTTGTTTGTCAGACTGCACTGCTTGTTCTAAGTCAGTAATTTACTACGTAGTGAAACAAGGATCAAGGTGACCCCCTTGGAACTTACATATGTTAAATCAAATCAGCTGTGGAAGCTCCAATACTTCTGTTCCCATAGATTCCATTTAACTCAATTAACATTTAATTAACATTAATAAACAATTACATAGGCCAATGAGCACTGAGGAAGAGTGCTTGTCTCTTGAAACGCATCAGTTGCATCTTACCCGATGGTAATGTGTCTGGTGGCAACTGGTCTATGATATGCTTGTGTTTTTTTTTCTCTTTTGATATACATGTTTTATTCAATAAACAGTTTTACAATAATGTACTAGGCTGGTGTGCCTTCTTATGCTTGTTTATAGGCTTGGTTGTCCCCAAATTGAAGAGGGCTGCAAGGCTCCAGTGCATACATTGGTTTGTGATGGTGGGTGCATACAGCGTTCCATTTTGGATGTTCGACCTGACAGATTAGTGCATTTGGGCAACCTGACAATTGGACTGCCAGGAAGATTGCTACGCCTGTAGCGCAGACATTTTGCATGTTTGTAAAAAGTTAAACAAAACAGTATTGTTTATTTTTTTTAAAAGCAAAAATCACACTGCTAAGGTCCCATTATCTATACACAAGGATTGTGAGTGGAATCTCTGGTTAAAAAATAACCCTCCAGATTGAAGCCTACAGCGAGGTATAAAAAAGTATTGTATAATACATATTTATTTTAAAGATCATTACCAATTAAACTTACTCTCTCTGTGACAGATAAAAAGCTTTGCAAGGAAAAAAAAAAAAAAAAAAACGTCTTACCATAGCGACACTTGTATTGGCACACACCATTTCTTCCACCAAGGAGCTCCAGAAAAGAGTCAAAATAACCATTGACGGCTTCAAATCCATCCCGAACAGCTCCAATACCCCACTCAGAAGAGGCCTCCTCGGGAGGTATCTGAGTGGTTGTTATATTCTCCGCTGCTTCTTCTGTACTCAGTGCTATGCTTAGTGCTATAGAGAGCACTGTAATTCTCAGCAGAACCTTCATGTCTGTGCTAAGCTATACGATCAGCCTCTGTGCTGTACACCTCCAGTCCGTGCACTGTCTCAGAGTGGACTTTATACACTGGAATGGTGACGAGGTGAGGTCACAGCAATAATAAAAATAAAGAGAACACACAGTTCAAAGGTTGGCCTTAGTGGAAGTCAGACTAAAAGCTGATTAGTCAGCCACTGAACTGGTGATATTTCCAAATTTGTTCAGCAAGTCTACTATCTTGGACTTGTCCCTAAAATTTCAAGGTGCACGTGATTTTCCACATGCACAAACCAATAGCACAATAATCAAATATTGAATGAGATATAGATGGACAATGGTCTGTATTTAGGGATTTATTAACAAAATGTTTTCTATTTTTTTTTTTTAGCAATAAACTATATATTTTTGTACATTTATGGAGACAAACTAGAAGGGTTGATTTAACAGGAGTAGAGACCATTGGACTGAGCTAAATGATTATTCAAAAAGCTTATTTAGGCCTCATGCACACTGGGCGTTAAAAAGGCAATTTTTAGGAGCATTTGATTTTTTTTTTCTGACTCTAAAATCCCGTCGTGTTAGCCTGTGTGTCCATGCGCACATAAGTGTTTACAGGCATTAGAGGTGATAAAAAAAAAAACCCCCCACTACCAGCGTGTGCAGGAGCGGCAGCATTTTGGAAGGAAAACTGCATGATGTGCTAAACCACATGTGAACATGCGTTAACGCTTGGCATGTTTAGTGCTTAAAGTGGTAGTAAAGTCTATTTTTTTATGTTTTACCTACAGGTAAGCCTTTGATAAGACTTACCTGTAGGTACTGTAAATGTCTCCTAAATGTGCACGGTTTAGAAGACTTACTGACGTCACCAGTGTATACGCACTGCACTCTCAATGGAAGGCATTGCATCAACTGAAAGAGCCCTGCCGCGGCCAAGACTACTGCTCGCATGTGCTGGAGTGATGTCATTGTGGCTCGGCTAAAAGGCCGCAGCCTATGTACCCAGAAGCCCTGGGGAGCTGTGACAGCACTTCACTGAAGGGCTTCAGTTTCAGGTGAGTCTTTCAGAATGTGCTAGTATGCAACGCATACTAGCATCTTATGCTCTTCACTTGCAGGGAGAGATATTTTTTTTTATTTAATTTTTTGCAGTTTACTACCACTTTAAGAATGACTCATTTTAATAGCCAGAAAAAAAAATTATTATTATGGCCAATTAAAAAATGCATTTACAAAAAACACAAACACAGGATTTTTACTTGCATACTAGATTCTACTCATTTAGCAAATCACCATCGGGCAAGGTACAGTAACTTTTTATTGAATCTACACCTTCAAATAAAAACTTGAATTAATAGAGATAAGAAAGTTGCCTTTTTCTTGTGCCTTCTGGAAAGGCGAGTTCTTTATCTGTCTTTGCCTTTTTTTTCTGCCTTCTGGAAATATGTGTTCTTTATCCGTCTTTGCGTTTAGTAATTTCAGCCTGCTAGCCAGAACAACCATTCCAAAATAAATAAGTGATTTATTATATCAGAACTACTCTTTTGCATACTAGTTCCAGGTCAGGCACTCAAAAGTATTGAGCCCTTAGAACCGCCATGACAGCTAAGCAACTAGCTCCAACAACCAGAAAAATGTATGTATAAGAAAAACAAAAAAAAACTGTGGTTTAGAGCTATGAAACACCTGTCACTAGCCAGAGACACTGATCATATACCTACTTATGTAAATGCTAATCTAAAAGTATATATGTGCAAATTCTACAATCACTCCTATTAGATTCTCATTCTATGCAGTTCGCGTTAACACCCTTCCCCCAGAATACTTCCCTTTCCTGCCATTCACCAGAAGTCAAAGGAAATGCTCTATACTTATGGGTATGGAGAAACATGTGATTTACTCTGTGGGACAGCTCTGGGCCAATCAGTGCTCTCACAGGTATGTCCAAGGCCATGTGTAAGCTATGAATACTCTATTGCTCTTGGTGACTGAATGGGGCCATAAGGCAGAAAGGACAGCAAATACTGCATATGCTTTTGGTACAGTATGCATAAAGGGTTGATTATCTTCAGACACATACCCAAAATTAATAGGATAGATAGAAACTATCATAAACTACGAAGATTTGCAGAGTTGATGATTATTTCTAGTGTTCTATATCCACTGTTAGTTAACCCTTTATATCCACAGTTTTAAGCTGGCAGCTGAACACAGAAATGAAAGGATATAGTAGCCAGATGGAGAAGTCAGGAAACTCAGCAAAAGGTCCTTATCAGTATATGACTGTCAACTACCCAAAGACACAGATTCAAGAGAATTTCAAGATGGTGGAAAGTTCTTACCAGGTTATTTGGGCAGGTAGATGGCTATGCAGATATGCTAAAGTTATAAATACCAGACAGCAGGTATTAACATAACATACAATACTGATGGACAGTATACATAGGCTGAGGATTGCAATGTATGCTTTGATACAGAATACATATTTAATACTTGAACTATTGATATTTGTATTTCCTTAAAAATCCCACCCTTAATAAGATAAAGCAAGAGCAATGTACAACATGTTGCTGTGATTCTGTAGAACTTTATAAAGAACATTATGAGATTTTCTTCTGAGAACTGACTCACAGGACAAAGGTCTATAGAAAGATGAAATGTATTGATTACTACAGTGTCACAGAGATTACCACATCTTCATTATATCTGCAGCTAATCAGGACTATTTTTGTCCTTTACAGCACTATTTGTTGGAATAAAGGTTACTGGGCCTTCTTTGTCAAGCTGTGCTAGCACATAATGGAAAGACAGTTTAACCAGTAGCAGATGATTGCAGCTGGGTGAATCAGGAGGGCCATTATCCCGGGTCCTAGACTAGATTTAATTTGTGATACACTATCAATGTCCTGTCACTTTGAAAAATCATACGCCTGTATGAAACAAGGGGTTTTAGACTGAACCACAACATGTGTCTATGGGTGGGTAGATGTAAACAGATGTATATTCGTTTACATTCTTGTTGTTCAGGTCCATTTTTTTTAAATGAAACAACCGTGTCCAGATCTGTTGAAGACAAACAGAACCGATGTAAAACGATGCCAGCCATTTGCATATGTTCCGTTTATAAACAAAAATGTTTCTTACCTGAAAACGGACATAACTTTGTTTTTGTCACCTCTGATTGGTCTCTGCAACAACTAAAAAAAATGAATGCAAAACCAGATGTAGACTGAACTGAAACTAAAATCGGTTTTTAAACGAATGTGATTGAACAGATGATGTCCATATGAAAGGGCCTAAAGGAAATGTGTGCACAGCTATACACAGGGGCATATTTATAAAGCAATGAATCTGACATTCAGCAAACAGTCTCTGTAGTAGAATCTTCCAGGTCCATGTGTTTTAAATTACAGTGATTTTATTCTTCACTAGAGAATGTTTGGTGAAAAGTTTATAAATACTTATAAATGTTAATGTAAAAACAGAGTGCACATCATCTTCATTTGGAAACATGCCAAAAAAAAAAAAATACACAGGACACATTTTGATTTTCCATAGAAATGTAATTAGGGGCAGGATGCAGTGCATGTCGATACAAAGATTGCCATCTGAACAGAGAGACAATTCCATCAAACTGTTCTTACAACATTGTCTAAATACAGAACACTTCACATCCCGAATCCCTCAAAGACAAAATACAAAAAGGTCATCTAAAAAGGGTTATAAATAGGTCATTTGTTGCCACAAAAATAGATTCTGAAATACAAAAACATTTTCACAGAATTGTAGGAACATAACTGTACCTATCCAAATGGATTTATGTAGATTGTGGAGCACAAAATGTGATAACAATGACACCTTTTGAAAGGGCACATTTGGAAGAATCGAGGGTACAAAAATATAGGTTTTCTTTTTGTAGGACTCTTACAACCATTCCATGGACATACACATGGGAAGCTAAGGCACTGACCTGTCAGACAGTAGAGAACAAAAGCTGGTAACTAAAGCCATTTGAAGGATGCTTAGCAGGATACAGGCGATACTTTTGTATTGTTAAAGAATCCAAGATGACAAAGTGATGACGGGAGCGTTGAGTACTTTGTACTTCTCACTGTGCCCTGGATTCAGAGATTTCCAGGTGCCAAGGTGAGGTTCTGGTGTGCTTTGTAAGCTAACCATTGTCTCAAAAACCCCAACAGACATCTATTGAGCACATAATTAAAATTTTGGCCAGTTGCACAGCACCTCACAGGGGGGGGGGGAAAAGAATGCCAGGACCTGAACTTCACAGCTGAAATTTCTGGATTGGGGGCAGGGAGGTAAATAGAAAGCAAATCACTGCTACCCCAATCTGAAAGATCTAGCAACCCTGGTTTTCATAGAAAAATAGCTCTCCTTTTTGAACTTTCTAAAGTAAAAGTTCTGCCTAAGAGCAGACAGTGTAATGTGCCACTTACCTATATTAGCCAGGAAAGCCTCTCTGTGCCCCTCCCTGACTTAGTTTTACTTTGTTACTGCGGCCCAAGTTTCCCTGACCTCATCGCTAAGCCTTGCCCATTGCCATCCCACTTAACAACTAGTAGGGGTTCTTATACTGGATAGTGGGATGACAATTCACAAAACCATCAAGTCGGGGAAAGTAAGGCCCCAGTACGAATGTGAAATTTAATCAGAGTCGCACATTAGGGGCTTTGCTGTCAATAAAGGTAAATCACAAGAAGGTAATGAAGAGTTTTAACATCAGATTTAACAAAGGCAGTGGAATGCATTTTTTTAATATATAGTGCAGGATATTGCCAAGCTACATCTTAAATGTCATTCACAAACAAACAATAGGGGGAGAACTGTAGCATTCCACCATAAAACAGCCACCATCACCAGGTTTGCCCTTCCTGAGGAATTTTAAATATAAAAAAACACAAAACTGCACACCATTCAGCTTGATTTGACACATACACTTGCAGTGGAGATTAATGCACCCATTATGTGGCTGATTTTTGAACGCATGGTACATTTATTTTTTCCGCAAACATTGGACTAGTTAAATTGTTTCTAAAATATTGTACAGTTAGAGCAGAGTGAATCAATCTGCTCAGTTCCAGATCAGCGGGGAAGTGAGATTGTTATAGCCAGAGAAATTCATTGAATATCAGTTGATTCGCCAAACTCGTATTTTCAAACAGAATGTAATAGCCATATTTTTGTAACTGGTATCAGGGTCTCTCTCCCCTCCCTCAATTTTGCCTTATGTCAAGGACTAGGTGGCAAGGGGTCTTAAGGAATATTAAAGGGTTCAGTACCCATCACAATGCTGGCATTTAGATGGGAAATGCCAGATGTTATTATAGAAGTGATTAAATAATAAATATATATATATATATATATATATATATATATATATATATTTTTTTTTTTTTTTTAAACAACACACGTGGTGCAACTGTGGAAGATCACATGAGCAGACCAGGCAGATTGCCTGTGGAGCTCATCTCTACACCATATAAGGTTGGGTTCAGGTGGACATGGCTAGGTATCTGTTACAGAAGTACTTGTGCACTGCTGCTTATAGGCTGTAGCTTTTACCTGATTTCAAATGTGTGAGTCATGGGACTCATCTTTAAAAATATATAGAAAATGCTAATACAGATGTTGACTTTCAGAAAGGTTTCCAGTGCACGTGGAGGTAGTTTTGGGACAGTTGATAACCTTAATGAAAACAAACATCAAGCTACACCTCAGCTGAAGCTGTGCTTTGCAGACACATGGACCAAGCTCAGATTTACTAAAGCTGGTTATAAACCAAGTGTTTCAAGTGGTTCCTGAAGATCCAGCTGTGATGCCACTGTTCAGTTGTTCAATCGAAGTATTGTGGGAGGATGTGAAGGAGCCAGGCAGAAAATTCTTGTAAAATTTCCCTAACTGCAGCTGCATTTCAGCTGTTTTTTGGACAGTGGCTGAAGGCAGCCATTGAATTAAAATTGCCAATCAGTGGGGGGGAATAGTCTATTCACGGTGTTCGTGAAGTTGGAGGCATCTGTTACAATTTTTTTTGTTCAGCCTACAGGCTAAAAAAAAAAAAAAAAAAACCCACACGCAATTCACTGTGCATAGCCACCTTAGTCACAGGTACACTGTTATGCTCTGCAAAGGGCGAGAGGGTGAGATCAGATATGCTTTCCAAGTGTGTATCTTCTTTTAAATAAAATAGATGGCATTCTATGATCATGCTACTCAGGGTAAAGACCTCAGTTTACTGCAACATATGGTATGCTACTCCAAGTGGATGCCAGAAACTGTATAACTGTTTTTTGGATCTCCAGATGGCAATAATTATAATGTCTTACACTGAAGACAATAAAATTAATGTGCATTAGACCAATGGGTGAACTGACATACAGGTTGCCATATTAACATGCTATCCGGAGAAGTACAAATGATTCAACCATCATACCAAAAGGCTAAGCTGACACACAGGGTCCCAAAATAATTGTATACACAAGGGTTACAGACATGAACTTCCACTGTCTTAGAGCACTACACTGGCATATGTCTACCATTAAGACAGATTCCCGCTTAGTACCCTCTCTAAGCCAGTGCCTGCGAAGCATGATTCCCAATAACCACATTGTAAGTGATAAGAAGTCAAAAGTGCTCTAAGCGCTCACCTTATTCATCTGGGCAGCAATTTATAGAAATGTCTCTTTACAGTACATAAGAAATGAAATCTAGTTGGGGCTTGAATCTGCTTAATCAAGGATTTCACTTTTTAGGTAATCAGACATCTTTCCCAAACATTTCATATTCAAAATAAATCTGTGACACAGAAGCAAATACCAAATAGGCTCTTTGGCTCAACATGAACACTGGAATCTTGCAAATTGCTTTTCCAAAAAGGTCAGATCATTAAACAATAGGATTATATAAATAAGCAAAAAACTGTCACCAAAAAAAAAACAAAAACAAACAATGTGCTCTATTAAAAAAAAAAAAGAAAAATGTATGTGTCAATGCTGACATCTTAGAAGGCAAAAAGTGACACAAACCCTGCACAAAATAGGTGGGCAATGAAATCTTCTTTTGAGGTCTCCAAAGCATGAAAGGGTTAGGCTGACTTCACAAACCTTCTTTGCTTTAGATCTGTGTAGGTTTGGCATATCCATTGGCTTCAATCAATGCACACTTGTAACTCTGTGTATATGTTCACCTGTATTAGTAATTTAATAACACAAATATTGGATCATGTCCTCCACAAGTGATTCTCCCCAGTATTCTGGGACTATTGCATTTTAGTTCATTGCTAGCAAACTGGGCAAAGCACAGTCTGGAAAGCTTTGTGGCTGAGATGTGTTTTCACATAACGTAGGTGTGGATCATGCCAATTCAGATAAGCGACACGGTCTTCGGAACTCTTGACCCCGCTCATGAATCCATTTATTGGATACTGCAAAAAAAAAAAAAAAGATTTTTTTTTTTGCTATAATTTTAGAGTCAGTTTCTGCAGTATGTCTCATTTTAAAAAAGGTATCCACATAGTATTTATGTGGTTAGCCCAATACTACTGATTTTGACAGGAATGAATGATGTTCACTAAAATCTGAATGGGAACCCATTCAATTTAGTGGACACCTCTAGGCTGGCTTCTGTCGAGGGAGCATGACTGAAAAAGGTCTGCCAATCAGCTCTGTTCTGCCAATCAGCAAAGTGTTCTGGCGGGGGCTGTCCCCCCTGACCCAGTGGCTCCTCCTGAGCTGCCTTTTTTCCCCCCCAATTCAGCCTGCTGAGTTGAACAAAAAAAAAAAAAAAAAACTTAGTATTTCCTAGGCTTTAGACTCAGACATACAAATAAAGATATTAAGGGGACAAATCTAAATCATTTATATTAAAAAAAACAAAAAAAAAAAAAAAAACACACAGCATTTTTATATAGTGAAGGGGTTACTCGCTACTAGAGCTAGCACCTTCATTCTGCTTTTTGGGAATACTTGTTCCCTCTGACCCTCCACCAATCCCACTTTCTCTTGTGAAAAAGAAAAGATATGCCTCTCATCTGCCACACTCTACAGGAGGGGAAAACTGCTTCTCCTATCACAGTTGTTTGTATCTTGCCATAAGGGCTTGGTTGCATACTCCCAACTTCAGCACTAACCTACAACCAAATTGTCCAAGAGTCTTTGCCTTCCCAGTCTACTTGAACTGAACACTCTCAGCTCATCCACCAACACCATACTTTATGGCCAAGGGATGATATTATGTACAGTAGATGATTAAACATTGTCAAACAATGTCATAATAACATTCAAGGTAAAATTGCAAAGACTTTGACTCTGCTTTTCACATATTGGTGAAGCCCTGCTCATCTTTACTTCTGAGACACTCTGACTCTCTAAGGTGCTCTTTTTATATCCAATCAGGTTACTGGCCTGTTGCAAATTAGCCTAATTAGTTGAAAATTTTTCTTCCAACTCTTCCTTGTTAGTACTACTTTGACAGATTTTTGTTGCCACCTCCCAACCTTTTGGAGACGTGTTGCTGCCATCTCTTTCAAAAAAAATGACCCTATTTTTCTGTCAGCCCATCTGGCTCCACCCTCAGACCACCTTCTTCCCCTCCTTTCTTTGCTCATCCCAGGCAAACATCCCCAATCCCTTTTTTTCCCCTTCAGATCACCTCTGTTTTTCCTCTATTCTCCTCCCTCTCGCCCTAGTACTTCTTCATTAAGTGTTTGATGCGGAGATGCCTACGATAGCCAACACAGTGCTCTCTATTTCTTATAAATAAGCCATGGAGTTTTTGCCTCCCTATAGTCCATGATATCTTGTTCATGCACATGTGCTGTATTTATGTATTATGGTGGAATTCTTTCAGACCGCACCTCTGTACTCTGACATTCCTTGTGCCTTACTATATTTTCTACTCACCTGGAAACACCTAATAAACTTTAAAAAAAAAAAAATAAAAAAAAAATTTTTTGTTTCACAAAGTTTAGGTTCATCTTTTGACAAAAAAAAAATGCACATTTTTTTGCAGGTAACAAAATGTGCATTTATTATTTTTTGTTGCAGGAGCCTGTAAAGCATTGAACCAGCGATCATCAGATCTCTGTTGCCATGCAGGTCTCCTGCAGATCTGTCCTGTCAGTATATCTGCTTGCCCATACATCCAGGGCAAGCAGATACACTGACAGGAAGAATCAATGAACTACCACTACCGGGAACTTCTCATTGTACTGCTGTTGGGGGTGTGTGTGTGTGGGGGGGGGGGTGGTATATCGAGCAGCAGCTGCAGCATGTAACATGTTCCAAAAGGTGAACTTCTCCTTTAATGGTACATTTTCTTATTTAAACATTTGATATATTTTCTATTGTGAATATGATGATTTATTGGATTTGTAAATCATTGCAGTCTGTATTTATGTAGATTTCAAAAACGGTGTTCAATTTTTTTGAGGAAGAGGAAGAAGAAGAGGGAAGAAGAGGAGGAAGAAGAGGAGGAAGAAGAGGAGGAAGAAGAGGAGGAAGGAAGAAGAGGAGGAAGAAGAAGAAGGAAGAAGGAAGAAGAGGAGGAAGAAGAGGAGGAAGAAGAGGAGGAAGGAAGAAGAGGAGAAGAAGAGAAGAAGAGGAGGAAGAAGAGGAGGAAGAAGAGGAGGAAGAAGAGGAGGAAGAAGAGGAGGAAGAAGAGAGGAAGAAGAAGAGAGGAAGAAGAAAGGAAGAAGAAAGAAGAAGAAGAGGAAGAAGAAGAGGAAGAAAGAAGAAGAAGAGGAAGAAGAAGAGGAAGAAGAAGAGGAAGAAAGAAAGGGAAGAGGAAAGAAGAGGAAGAGGAAGGGAAGAGAAGAAGAAGAGGAAGAAGAAGAGGAAGAAGAAGAGGAAGAAGAAGAGGAAGAAGAAGAGGAAGAAGAAGAGAAGAAGAGGAAGAAGAAGAAGAGGAAGAAAGAGGAAGAGGAAGAGGAAGAAGAAGAAGAGGAAGAAGAAGAAGAGGAAGAAGAAGAAGAAGAAGGGGAAGAAGAAGAAGGGGAAGAAGAAGGGGGAGAGAAGAAGAGGAAGAAAGAAGAGGAAGAAGAGAAGAGGAAGAGGAAGAAGAAGAGGAAGAGAAGAGGGGGAAGAGGGGGGAGGGGGGAGGGAGGAGGAGGAGGAGGACTGCAGTGTACATTTTCTTCCAATTTGTGAAAACAACTAAAACCGCTTTATGTCCATTGATCCAATATAGGCAGAGCAGCATACAATTTCCTTGTTTGATTATGCTATGCAGGCTGCAATGCAAGATGCATTAACAAAAGGCTCACACTCACCCCATTTATTTCCAACTAATACAGGACAAGCTGCATGCCTCGTACTATAATCTCCTTCTCCACTTTCAAAGAGATTGTACCAGAACACCGCTGATCCCTTTGGAAAAAAAAAAGGCAAATATGTACAGGTATAGCTATAGATTTTTAGAACTAGATTTCAAGTATATTTGTTAAAGGCTAACAATACAGTGAAAGTAACAATACTGCAAACACACACCAACGTTATGTATCAAAAAAAAAAAAAAAAAAAATAAGAAAAAAGGAAAGAAAGATCGCCAAGAATTACTAAACCACCACTGGGATGATGTTAATATCTGGCAAAGTATAATCTGTGTTATCTTTAGCAACCAGTACATAATAAAGAAATGATTTGATCTTTAAACTTTAAAGCAAAACTTTGTTTTGCCTATGTGGGGTAAACAACCACTTATGGTTGTACTTATGGGCAGCATAGTGGCTAAATGGTTAGCACTTCCACCTGGTGGTACTAGGGTCGTTGGTTCAAATCCCAACCACAGCACCACCTGCCTGGAGTTTGCATGTTCGCCCTGTGACTGTGTGGGTTTCCTCCGGGTACTCCGGTTTCCTCCGGGTACTCCGGTTTCCTCCCACACTCCAAAGACATGCTGGTAGGTTCATTGGCTCCTGTCTAAATTGGCCCTAGTATGTGTATGGATGCAAGTTAGGGACCTTAGATTGTACGCCCCTTGAGGGTTAGGGACTGATGTGAATGTACAATATATATATGTAAAAGCGCTGCGTAAATTGGCGGCTCTATATAAGTAACTGAAATAAATACTATAGTCATGGTATGCCTTTTCCTAGAAAAGTTTAAATTTAATCAATAAAATATAAGTAAACAAAAGTAATACAAAACTGCACAATCCAACATGAATATAAAGTCTAAAAAAACAAACAAACCAGGAAGTCATACCTTTTTAGGGTAAACTGCTGCTCCTACTTCTGGAAAGACTGTAGCACCACCTGCCTCCACATCACTCATCTGAATAAAACGAAAAAATGAAAGGGTTTATTCTTGCAAAGTAACAGAAAATTATGAGTGTGGTGAACTATCCTCTGGAAAGTTTCTATGTACAGTCTTCTCAAAAACAATAGTTTATTTTCTAAACTGCAGGTAATAGAGGTCTACTGAAGTCTGCTATCAGATTGCAAGTCCAGTTCTCTGCAGAAACCAGCAACAGGGAGACAAATGAGTGAACGGTCCACATCAAGTCACATTGGATGACTGCATGTGAGGTCAAACAAAACATTAGAACTAATATGTACATGGTCGGTGGATGCCCTCCCCAGGGATTACAGTGACCAGCATAACAGCAGGACCTGCAATACTCTGTGACTTTGCTAGCTGCACCGTTTAGAGGTCATAGACTTTCCACATCTCTCACTGTTTGCATCATTAGGCACTTACATTTGAGTACGGCGGGTTTCACAATGTGGTGTACCAATGTTTTTGTATGGGTTCTCAGACTAATGCCTTGATTGCCCCATCCACGTAAAACAATGTATGGAAAGTGGGGGGACGACGACTAGAGAAATGCCTTGATTGCCCCATCTACGTATAACAGAATAGATGGAAAAGGAGAACGAGCTGAGGGAAAACAGTGGGGTGTAGAGAGCGGACTGATCAGCGGTCTTGTACTCAGTCAGTTCTCAGTCTTGGAGGCGGCATGGGACAGCTGCAGTGTCACATTCATGCTGCAGCAAGATGGTGAGAATGTATTTTTAATTTTTGGTAACCCCAATCTTCCCCTTTAGTTTAAAATGTTCAGCAGAATCTTAAATACATGCATACTTTATTTCTGCTTTATAACTGCATCTATAGTCAATTCTGTTCTTGTAACTAGTGTAGTAGGGAAATGATATAACACCTGTCAGTTTTGCCATCTTTGTCTAAATGGAGGAGATTTCCATTCATTTCCTGTCCCACAGCCAAACAGGAAGTGAGAGGAAATCCAGCCAAAAGCGAGGGAATCCCAGTGTGTCACCATGGCCACCAGAACTAGTATCCCCATTGGAGGATTTCCTCTCTATTGTTCTGATGTTAACCCAAAATTTGGGATTTCCTTTGACTTTGTAGTTTTCCTGTTTACCATAATCGGCAAAACTAAGAGGGTGAATCTCCTGGGGGGTACAGACAGCAATAAAAACAGGTGTTCTAATCCCTCTCAACCCTTTCCAAAACTGAAAAAAAGTGCTTTGCCTTTAGTTACACTTAACTCAGAACATTTTAAACATTTGACAAGGATTCTTATCCTTTCCAATTCAAAGGTTTGGTTAGATAACTTTTAAATCCTGGATGGGGTAAGTTGCAAGTTTTACAAACAGCTTTGCATAAAATAACTTGTGACTTTGCATATTATGTAAAATGGTGATCTGTGGTGGTGATCCCTATTGGAAAGATGGCATCCTGAGCGGGCTGACGGACTTTTACAGTGGGGCAAAAAAGTATTTAGTCAGCCACCAATTGTGCAAGTTCTCCAACTTAAAAAGATGAGAGGCTTGTAATTGGCATCATAGGTAGACCTCAACTATGAGAGACAAAATGAGAAAACAAATCCAGACAATCACATTGGCTGATTTGGAAAGAATTGATTTGCAAATTATAGTGGAAAATAAGTATTTGGTCACCTACAAACAAGCAAGATTTCTGGCTCTCACAGACCTGTACCTTCTTCTTAAAGAGGCTCCTCTGTCCTGCGCTCATTACCTGTATCAATGGCACCTGCTTGAGGTTGTGGACAGGTGTCTTTCATACTGATAACAAGTTCAAACAGTCACACTCCAAACTCCACTATGGTGAAGACCAAAGAGCTGTCGAAGGACACCAGAAACAAAATTGTAAACCTGCACCAGGCTTGGAAGACTGAATCTGCAATAGGCATGCAGCTTGTTGTGAACAAATCAACTGTGGGAGCAATAATTAGAAAATGGAAGACATACAAGACCACTGATAATCTCCCTCGATCTGGGGCTCCACGCAAGATCTCACCCTGTGGGGTCAAAATTATCCCAAGAACGGTGAGCAAAAATCTCAGGACCACACGGGGGGACCTAGTGAATGACCTGCAGAGAGCTGGGACCAACGTAACAAAGGCTACCATCAGTAACACACTATGCCGCCAGGGACTCAGATCCTGCAGTGCCAGACGTGTCCCCCTGTTTAAGGCAGTACATGTCCGGACCCGTCTGAAGTTTGCTAGAGAGCATTTGGATGATCCAGAAGAGGATTGGGAGAATGTAATATAGTCAGATGAAACCAAAATAGAACTGTTTGGTAGAAAACACAACTCGTCGTGTTTGGAGGAGAGAGAATGCTGAGTTGCATCCAAAGAACACCATACCTACTGTGAAGCATGGGGGTGGCAACATCATGCTTTGGTGCTCTTTCTCCGCAAAAGGGACCAGGATGACTGATCCATGTACAGGACAGAATGAATGGGGCCATGTATCGTGTGATTTTGAGTGCAAACCTCCTTCCATCAGCAAGGGCATTGAAGATGAAACGTGGCTGGGTCTTCCAACATGACAATGATCCCAAACATACCGTCGGGGCAACGAAGGAGTGGCTTCGTAAGAAGCATTTCAAGGTCCTGGAGTGGCCTAGCTAGTCTCCAGATCTCAACCCCATAGAAAACCTTTGGAGGGAGTTGAAAGTCCGTGTTTCCCAGCGACAGCCCCAAAACATCACTGCTCCAGAGGAGATCTGCATGGAGGAATGGGCCAACATACCAGCAACAGTGTGTGCCAACCTTGTGAAGACTTACAGGAAACGTTTGTTATATATCCTTTGTTGGCAATGACAGAGGTCAAAGTATTGAGATGAACTTTTGATATTGACCAAATACTTAATTTATTTGCAAATTATGCTGGAAAATCTTTCCAAATCAGCCAATGTGATTGTCTGGATTTTTTTTCTCATTTTGTCTCTCATAGTTGAGGTCTACCTATGATGCCAATTACAGGCCTCTCTCATCTTTTTAAGTTGGAGAACTTGCACAATTGGTGGCTGACTAAATACTTTTTTGCCCCATTGTATACCATTCATGAGCACATGGAGATCAATATGAGTGAGGCTAGTCATACAAAGCAGCTTACCAACCACTGGAACACCTTACTGGCAAAATGTGTTTGGCACTGTGAGCACTTTAACCATTGGATTCAATTTGCTGGAATTGTGCAAACAATTCCAAAAATAAAAAAAAGTCCCATATTTTTTTTGGGACAGAGTCAAAGATCTAATTTTTTGGTATTTTGAACACTGGTTTACTCAACCTTTGGGTTTCTTTTTGTATTTAGCGTATATTCATTTATCCACTCTTTATACTGGTGAGATTTTTATACATGATTTAGGTTAATTTGATACACAAGGGTGTCATTTTCAAATCTGATTGTGTACATTTATTGGTTTACATGAATATCTGATATAAGTTCAGCGTTCAGACTTACGGTGCTGCCGCCATTAGTTGACTGAGCATGGGTTTTAGTATAATTAAATAAATAATTGATCTATAAAAACTAATACCACCTCTTATAAAAAAAAAAAAAAAAAAAAGGAAGAAGTATTACAGCAAAATCGTGCTTACGAAAACAGAGAATAAGAATTTAAAGTGCAACTAAAAAAGGTAAAAAACTTATTTATATATTTTTTTTTAAATGTCCCAATGGGGACACTAGTTCTGATGATGAAAACCGTTTTTGCCTTTAGTTATACTTAATATGTGACAGCAAATGTACTAAAGCAGTATTAAATCCCCCCCCAAAAAAAAAAAACATTGAAGCTTACTAAGGCTGGCCATACATTATACATTTTTCTGTCCAATTTCCTTTAGATTTACCTTCAACTATGTAGTGCAAGAGCCTGCCTAATTGGATACAACTGAAAGTGTTGTTTAGACTAAAAACCATATAATATGAGGTCAAACCTAAAGCAAAATTCTCAAGAAAATTGTATAATGTATGGGCAGCCTAATTCTTAGATGTGGTGGCAGTATTTCCTTTCTTTTTTTCTATTTTCAGCTGGTGATTCAGCTAGCAAGTCTGTTTTTCAACAGCAGAAGCACTCCAGCAGAATGTATCAGTTTGCATGGATGAGACAAACCACATAACAATGGCAGAAGGGATTCAAAGGATTAGGTTTTTTTTTATTCATGCAAAACCTTTATCCCAAAAAGGAAAAAACTGACTACTATATCAGATTATAAAAAGTGTCAGCAGATTTAAATACACTAAACAAATTGAAGCCAAACTGCAGCTAATACATTTAACATTACCCTCCCTCTAGACTGACAATGCTGTTGCCTGCTGTTCCTCCTGTGCTTATTTCTCCTGAGTTGTGTCTCACTAATACTGGTGGTGTGTTACTGGCCAGATCATCAGGTGAAAAACACACAATTTGACTTTACAGAGACATCTCTAGTCAACAAGAACAGAAATAAGACACCAAGACAGCGGTCTATTATTCTGCATCAACTTACATAAAACAACCATGTAGCGATTCTGTTGCCTGTACCAAGCTCTTTAAAAGCATCAGGTTCATCTTTCTGTGGAAAACCAAAGTAAAGGTTTAGTGTGACACCGTTTTGTAAGAGCAAAAAACGTCCAAACATGCATTGTTCTGGTCATCAGGGAATCGGTTACCTAAATGTGTTAAAGGTGTTCTAATGCAGCTCATCACAATTACTAGAATTATTGGGAGGCATTCAATTTAGAACAATGCAGAAACATGCTCAGACACAACATTCATTGATTAATCACTGATCAGGTTTTTAAAAAAAAAAAAAAAAAAAAAAAAAAAAAAAAAAAAAAAGGGGGGGGGGGGGGGTATAAATCAAATTTCAAACATCGCTTGGGCTTTGAACCCATAAATCAATTTTCATGCTGCAAAACCACCAGAAGAACCAAATCAGGTGTAGTAGTAAAAAATGTAACATTCCAGTTAAAGCAAAACTCCAAGCAAAAAGCCAATTAAAAAAAAAAAAAAAAATACTACAACACACACACAGGATTTATTCATTAAATTAAAAAAAAATGATTTTAAAATGCTCCCAGCACTGTACAATCTTATGCACTGTAAAATCAGCCATACACCTAGTTTATACAATGATGCGGATTTACTAAAGAAATTTAGAATGTACACACAGACTGTGTGCAGATTTTCTTCAGTTATCCAATCAAATGAAAAGCAAGTTATTTCTATAATCTGCAAGACTGGATAACTGAAAAAATATTCATACCATTTAAAAGCGCAGCGTAAATTGATGGCACTATATAAGTACCTGAAATAAAATAAATTGTGTGCATGTTTTCATCCTCTTGAATATCCAGACTAGTGTTAACACTAGGCTGATTTATGAAAGTGTACAGAACTTCTCTCTCAATTAACATTGACTATTTTTAAATACTTATGTAGCTACCATTAGTAAAATCAATTGGAAAGTATATTGTATCTATTGTTATTTGTTTTAAACTTTTTTTTACATTTCTTCAGTTACATCCTGGTTTCCATGCCTAGGCAACTGATGTCATACATCCCAGGAGTCTTCAGGAGGGGCTTTCTCAGCTAAGGTAGATGGATTTCAGATTCCAGGAAGTAAATTCATCTTCCCTTATTTCAGATGGCCACAGCCAGAAATGCAGGAGGACCGTTTTGCAAAGTGATTTCTCAGCAAATTTAAGCATGGAGACATGGATGGGAGAGTTTGGTTTAAAAATTAAAATAAATAAAGTAGTGTTTTTGGATTATGCTGCTCAGATGTAGTATCGATCCTCTAGGATTATGCTGCTCAGATGTAGTATCGATCCTCTTGGATTATGCTGCTCAGATGTAGTATCGATCCTCTTGGATTATGCTGCTCAGATGTAGTATCGATCCTCTTGGATTATGCTGCTCAGATGTAGTATCGATCCTCTTGGATTATGCTGCTCAGATGTAGTATCGATCCTCTTGGATTATGCTGCTCAGATGTAGTATCGATCCTCTTGGATTATGCTGCTCAGATGTAGTATCGATCCTCTTGGATTATGCTGCTCAGAATGTAGTATCGATCCTCTTGGATTATGCTGCTCAGATGTAGTATAGATCCTCTTGGATTATGCTGCTCAGATGTAGTATAGATCCTCTTGGATTATGCTGCTCAAATGTAGTATAGATCCTCTTGGATTATGCTGCTCAGATGTAGTATAGATCCTCTTGAATTCATACCCTACCAAGAGTGCTTAGAGTTGCTACATATGAATTTCACTGGTCCTCTGATTAAGTGGATTCAGTTAAAGCCTTACCTGTAAGCAATTAGGCAACACACCTGTGGAATTCAGGCATCCAATTTAACTACTTGCTCACCGCACTACAGCCGAATCACAGCTGCATCATGGTTGTCCAGTTTTGGGAGGCTGGGAGCAAAACAAAAAAAACACTTTCTTATGGAGTACAGTGTTGCAGGACTGTGCAATTGTCATTCAAAGTGCGAGAGAGTGCTGAAAATTGGCCTGGGAAGGAAAGTAAGAAAAAGTGCCCCATAGGCATGTGCCGTTAGCCATGGCTGCATCACTCTGAAATGTGATCTATCACTGATCACTCTTCACAGCATGACATTTGTAAACAAGCTCCTATAAATTTTGTTGAAAGCTTTGTAAATGTCTGCAGTACACACTGCTCTTCAGACTAGCATTTACATGCAGACTGTGCACTAGTCCTAAGAGTGAAAGGTTGTACACCGAGCATGTTATGGTGTAATATGAGAAAGTGGAGGAGTTGAAAACAGGAAAAGGGGGTAGAACAAGGTGGATCTTAGCAATGTGATGATACACACAGAAAATACTAGAAGCTGCATATATATAAAAAAAAAAAAAAAAAAAAAAAAAAAAAAAAAAAAAAAAAAAAAAGGGTGGTGAGGCACTGCTCAAAAATAATTAAAGAATTAAAGGAACACTTTGAGATCTGATGTGTTTTCAATGGGGAAAAATATAATGTTGGATATCTATACTGATATGTACTGGGTAATGAGTTAGGAACGTATGGATGCCCCAGCGTTTGATAGAAATAAAAATGATCAACCTACAGAGGACTAAATTCAAAGACACCACTGATGCAGCAGGCTAGTCCATTTTGCTGAAATTTCATTACAGCAACTCAGAATGGTACTCAGTAGTTTGTATGACCCTCACGTGCTTGTATGGATGCCTGACAACATCTGGGCATGCTCCTAATGAGAGGACGGATGGTGTCCTGGGGTATTTCCTCCCAGATCTGGACCAGGGCTTCACTGTGCTCCTAGATAGTCTGAGGTGCAACCTGGTGGCATCAAATGGACTGAAGCATGATATCCCAGAGGTGTTCTATTGGATATAGGTCAGGCGTGCGTGGGGGCCATTCAATGGTATCAATTCCTTTATCCTCCAGGAACAGCCTGCATACTCTCTGCACATGAAGCCAGGCATTGTCGTGCACCAGGAGGAACCCAGGACCCACTGCACCAGCGCAGGTCTGACAATGTGTCCAAGGATTTTTATCCCGTTACCTAAAGGCAGTCAGGGTGCCATTGTCTAGCTTGTAGAGGCCTGTGCGACCCTCCATGGATATGCCTCCCCAGACCATCACTGACCCACCACCAAAACAGTCATGCTGAACGATGTTACAGGCAGCATAACATTCTCCATGGCTTCCCCAGACCCTTTCACATCGGTCACGTGTGCTCAGGGTCAACCTGCTCTCATCTCAGCTGTCCATGGAAGTTAACGCCTAAATAGGTGCATTTTCTTATGAGAAGGCTTGTAGTAAAATCACATGTACTAAGATAATTATTTAAGAGGTTATTGGATAGATTAGCGTGTCACCCAATGTATGGTCTCCATTCAGTAGCCAAAAAGAGGCATACAAAAAAGGGGGTTGTGAAAAGAGATTCACAGAAAAGCGGCTACATAATGAACAGAACGTGACACTCAGGAAATAATTTCCAAAAATTATGCTTTATTACACATATATAGATATGACATATGGGCATTTGCCCTGGTTTACCATCACCTCAGTATGAGACAATACACACAGACCTAAAACCATTTAAAATGACACCAGAACCGGTCTAAATGTGTGTGCACACAGCAGGGAAAATGGCTACATGAGTCTAATGTCCCTGTAGCACAAACACACAGGTGAACACTTCCCTAGGGAGGTGTATCCAAAAATTATGCCATGGGCATACCAAAAATAGAGGATATAAGGGATTAAGCAGTAACCATTATGGCAAATCCCTATCAAGGAATCCAAAAATTATGCTATAATGTGTATATCACATGTATGCAATAGAGCAAGCACAATATGCGTCAAAAAGGAGAGTAGCAAGCCTCAGGCCTGTATGAAAGAAAACATAAATGTCAAATATATTATACAATACATTCCTGTGCCGGCACAAGTGGTTGGGGCCCATTCATCTGTAATATAGATAGCTGTTTCCTAGAGCTCTTGGATGGGAATATGCCCCATTTTTATTTCCAGGATGGAGGAAAAGATGCACACAGCAGCACTCTGCTTGAAATGGTTTCTTCACCACTGCATGTGGACTATACACCACTTTTGTAGGAAAAGATAGGACACATCCCAAAGACTCTTCTGCCTGTTGAGATATATATGATGGTATATCTTGTTTCCTATATATAGCACCATAATGTCCCCATCCTGTAGTGAAACAAACAATATGTGGAAAGTCACTGACAGAGCTAACACTCTATGGAAGATATATAGGTCATATAGATCACAGAGGACCATATATCTAATGTCCTGCAACGATCCACTCACCACCTGTGCTATGGATAACAGGAATGAAAGAGAAGTCCTTCATAGGTACTGCCATACAGGGCCAAGGCGGCCAAGGAACCACCGCTGACATCCGCCGATATACCGCGGGTTCCAGCCCCTTCTCGGCGCTTGTGCTGCTTAGGCTTGCCTCATGGCTTGTGAAGATGGCTTCCTCCTTATGGGTCAGCGTGCGTTCCACCTAGTGCGCATGACCGGAAGTGACGTATCTGACGTATGACGTCAACGCGTTTCGCCGATGGGCGTATCTCACTCAGCTTCGTCAGGACCAATGAAACAACCGCATTTCAATTGCCTATTTATAGTGGGTTGAGACCCACCCATTTATGCAAAACACCAACCTGCAGTTATCCCCAATGGAAAAAAGAAAGGGCTAAATACTTAGCACAGCTGCTGGTCATTGTTGAATATAATTAAAAATACAGACATCCGGAGACAGCAGAAAGGAGGGAAATTTTCATAATTTTGATGATGCATACATTGATCAAAAACTCATGTGTTAAATATATTCGTCAGCTAAAGCACCCATCACATTCTAACCAGAAGGTGGCGATATTAATAAGGGAATCGACAAGTCTATCCATTGAATCAAATTATCAAAAAAACCCCCCTATGAATTACCATAATATACCACAAGATGGCAATATAGCATGAAAATTCTCATTAAGGGTCACTTCAACAGGAATACCCCAATTTTTTAAAAAAACCATCCTATGGTGTAATAATTATTAAAGTAAAAAGGTACATAGACAGAAATTAGCTCAACATACCGTCCTAATACATTTTGTGTGGAGCTATATTTAAACTCATAGCTTGAGATCATCCATATTGTTTTAGTTGTTTCCATATACATATATACTTTTTTAGGGATTAAGTGACATATTTGTGAAAACAGAAATTCCACAAATTAACCACCACATGGCAATGATAAGGTACATAGCTATAACTATTTTTCCAAAAATACTTGAAGATCACATTCCACATTTAACCCCTTAGGGTGCAATGTATCAAGTTTATAAATCCAATATTTTTCCTTTTTAAGCAATTCTCTATCAAAATCACCTCTCCTCTGTGGAAAGTGCAGTGCATAGAAACCTTTCACTTTCGTACCATCCAGTTTTCCTCCATGATATTTAACGTATCAACCCCCTTTTTTTGTAGTAAAATCACCCTGCAAGTTCACTGCAGTTGGCTAAAGAAGTAGAAAGCCAAACTGGGATAATTGATTCCATTGACACAATACAGCGTACACTGCAGAGGAATGGCAAGCATGGGTGTCGCTCGTGAAAGAAGCCTCTTCTAAAGCCCATACACAAAAAATCCCGCCTAGCATTTGCCAGGGCCCATGCTGAAAAGTAAGATGATTCCTAGGACTCTGTACTCTGGAGCGATGAGACCAAGATAAAGGTTTTTGAAATTGATGGCTTCAAAATTGTATGCCGTTGCAAAGGTGAGGATTATAAAGAAAGATGCATGGTGCCTACAGTGAAACATGGTGGTGGCAGTGTCCATCTGTGGGGCTTCATGAGTGCTGTTGGTGTCGGAGAGCTGCATTTCATTGATGGCATCGTAAATTTACAGATGTACTGCTCTATACTGACAGAGAAGATGCTACCATCACTCCGTGCCCTTGGTCGTCGTGCACTTTTCCAACAGAACAATGATCCAAAACACACATGTAAGGCCACTGTTGCATTTCTGAAGAACAGGATGAAAGTAATTCAGTGGCCAAGTATGTCTCCTGATCTGAACCCAATCGAACACCTATGGGGAATTCTAAAGAGACAAGTTGAGCATCACTCTCCATCCAGCATCCAGGCTCTAAAATAGGTAATTCCTTAAGAAATCGAAAGATCGATGTTGCAATGTTACCACCTTGTTCATTCCATGCCTAGAAGACTTGATGCGGTCCTTACAAATCATGGAGGTCATACAGAATCCTAGATATAGTAGTTTTTGTTGTGGGGTGTATTCATTTTTGCATCAACTAATTTGAGTAAAAAACTGAAGATTTTGCAATCCAAGTTAAATTATTAACCTTTCTTTCAAGTAATGAGCTAAACAAATGTTCTACAAAACTCAGTTTTGTCAAAAATTTGGAAATTGTTCTTGTGCTCATTGAGATATTGATATAAATCTTACTTTTCAAAAAGGGGTGTACTCATTTATGCTGAGCACTATATATATATATACACACGTACATATACACACATATATATATATACACACACACACACACACATATACACATATACACACACACATATATATACATATATACACACATATATATACATATATACACACACATATATATACATATATACACACACACACACATATATATATACACACACACACACACACACACACACATATATATATACACACACACACACACACACATATATACACACACACACACACACACACACACACACACACACATACACACACATATACACACATACACACACATATACACACACACACACACATATACACACACACACACACACATATACACACACACACACACATATATACACACACACACACATACACACACACACACATACACACACACACACATACACACACACATACATACACACACACACACACACACCTTCATCTGACTAGAGTACCACTTTAAATATATTTGTATTGCTGCTCATCCAGGTTCATATGGTGGTTTTACATATTTTACAAAATAGATTAAGTTATGATTGGTGCAATTGAAGATTGGACACACATATATATAGCCGAATCCCGAAACCAGCACATTCACCAAGTCAGTCTAGTGCACACTGCCTTCATTCCACTACAAAGGAAGAGCACATGTGCACTAGGACAGGTTTCTGGTAAAGCACAGGAGGCGATGCGGCTGCTTTCCATGACCAGTGGGTTACTTGCCCGTGCAAAGTCAAAGTGGGGTTCATACTGTCCGCCCATTCCATAATTTGCCACCTGAAAGAGACAAGAGACAATGTATTCATGTGTTCACTGGGAAAGAGGGACTTACCCTTCCAAAATCAAAATGGGGCTCATACTGCCCTCCAACACCATAGTTGGCCACCTATGAGAAGCAGAATATAGTGCAGAGTGAGAGAGAAGATCCTATAACAGTACAGGCAGTCTGTACAACAAACAAGACAACCTTTCCCTCAGCTGAAGTTCTTAATGTTCTTTAGGGGGAGGCTAAAGGAGTAAAAACACAGATCTGTCACTACAATGCCAAATTTACTTTGAAAGAGGATATTTTCTGAATACCCAGTCTAACAGTACGCATCAGGTTTTAGTAGATTGTGCTTATTTTTTATCCTGTGATTGACCAATATACTTCATAACATTTTGTTTTATGGTGGCTTAGTACTCTTGCCTTAGAGCACTGGGGATCTGCGTTTAATATCCAGTAATTATGACATCTGCATGGTGTATATTTTCACCAGATCTGTGTGCATTTCCTACCACGATCCAAAAATTTACAAGTCCATTTTTGGCTTCCACTCAAATTGTCCCTATCATCCCTTTATCATTATGCCAGCAAAATTAGATTACAATAAAGGGACTAGTTGTAAATGTTCTCTGCAAAAAGGGTCCGTGCTATTCAACATGAAAATGTGATTATAGACATTAGATAATGACCTATGATATATACAACACTCACTAATTATATTATTTGTACAACATTCAATCAATTGCACAAAGTATATCAACACATAAGTGGAATATTTTTTTGCTACACAATTAGACTAAAAAATAAATAATAAAAAAAAAAAATTAGCTTTCTCAGCATCTGGACAGCAATATTTGTAAACTTGTGAGTGCATGTCCACGTGGCTAGGTTTACTTTTTTGTGGTTTGTTAATGGATCGTTCTCAAAACATTTTCTACATGAAATAAAGATGTAGAAATACTAATCAAACATGTTTTAGTCCACTTATATCCTAATGAATTCAGCATTTACATACAAAATAACGTGTTGGCGCAGACTGGTCTAGATGTGGAGCTATAACCTATAACATCTAATAACTAAAATGAAAACAGAGATATGAAAAGTAGATATGGAAAGCAGCTCCATGTTTGCCCCATTCGTAAAAGTGGAAGAAATATTGTACTTTTATCATTTGTAAAGCTGTGAAGGCACTTCATAGTGACTGTACAGAAATGATTACAGGACTTTAGTAAAAAAGAGTTTTTGTATCGTTACATAAGAAATTATACTCTGCATATGTACCAAAGTAACCATTTTTGGTTCTAATATTTTTTTTTATTTAACCTATTTAAAAATAGTCCCATACACTAACCCACTTGCCATATATTGCCAAAAGTATTTGAACACCCTTCCAAATGATTGGATTTGGGTGTTTCAATCACCTCCATGGCCACAGGTGTAGAAAATCAAGTGCCTAGGCATGCAGACTGCTTCAACAAACAGGAGCTCAGTGAATGCAAACGTACTACCGTGATAGGTTGCCACCTGTGCAATAAGTCCATCCATGAAATTTCCTTGCTACTAAATATTCTATGGTCAACGGTTAGTGTTATTATAACAAAGTGGAAGCAACTGGGAACAGCAGCTCAGGAATGAAGTTGTAGGCCACATACATTGACAGGGTGGGGTCAGCTCATGCTGACACGCACCAGTGCTCAGAAGTCAACAACTGTCTGCAGAGTCAATAGCTAAAGACATCCAAACTTCGTGTGGCCTTCAGATTAGCACAACAGTGCATAGAGAGCTTGTTGGGAATGGGTTTCCATGGCTGAGCAGCTGCATTCAAGCCTTACTTCACCAGGTGAAATGCAAAGCGTCGGATGCAGTGGTGTAAAGCACGTTGCCACTGAACTCTAGAGCAGTGGAGACGTGTTCTCTGGAGTGACGAATCACGCTTCTGTCTGGCAATCTGATGGACGTGTCTGGGTTTGGCAGTTGCCAGGAAAAACGGTACTTGCCTGACTGCATTGTTGCAAGTGTAGAGTTTGGTGAAGGGGGGGGGGGGGGGGGGGGGATTATGGTGTGGGGTAGTTTTTCAGGGGTTTGGTCACTTCGTTCCAGTTAAGGGAACTCTTAAGGCTTCAGCATACCAAGACATTTTGGACACTTTCATGCTCCCAACTTTGTGGGAACAGTTTGAGGATGGCCCCTTCTTGTTCCAACATGACTGCGCACCAGTGCACAAAGCAAGGTCCATAAAGACAGGATGAGAGAGTTTGTGCAGGCCAGTCAAGTTTCTCCACTCCAGAGTCCTGACCTCAACCTGATAGAACACCTTTGGGGTGAACCAGAGAGGAGACTGCGAGCCAGGCCTTCTAATCTGACATCAGTGCCTGACCTCACAAATGCACTTCTGGAAGAATGGTCAAACATTCCCATAGACACACTCCTAAACCTTGTGGGCAGTCTTCCTAGAAGAGTTGAAGCGGTTATAGTTGCAAAGGATGGGCCAGCTCAATATTGAATCCTACGGACCAAGACTGGGATACATTTTTATTCTGGCGATACTTGCAGTTGCTACAGCACAAACGGTTAATGAGTATCAACCTTTTTTTTTCCTCTCAAGGATAGGTACTATCCTATTAGGCAGATGATTAATACCTTTGTATAAGTGAACTACTTCAGTTGACAGTTACCTCTGTCCTACACAGTATAAGACAGAAGAGAATTGTTTACAGCTCAACCAAGGGAAGAATTACACCCATTCACATCACTGAACATTTTCTGCATTTTAAATGTACTGCATGACTTTGCATTTGCCTGCACCAACATCAGGGTTGTATAAATACCATAAATTATACATAAAATCCAAGATATAAAGACAACCATTAAAGCTAAAGTTTAGTGAATAGTGTCCTATGTGCTGATGGTGGTTGAAATCAAAGTCCTCTGCCCCCATATACCCCTGTGGCGATGATCTTCCAGTGCTGTAGGGATTAATATGAGTAGCGGTACTTGACAGGTTCCTGTCACAGGTACAAACTATGCTTTCCAACCCATGGTCCATCCAAAGAATCTGTACTACCGATATCCCTGCAGCACTAAGATATCACCACTGTGGGGGTATAAAGGGGTGTAAGACTTCAGATTTCAACTGAACACAGCCTCCACCAGTACACTCTTCATTCATGGTAAGTATCATCCCTTCAGCTTTAAACATAATAAAAACAATACAAAATTCATTCAGAATTAAGAAAAAAAAAAAAAAAGTCATATGGGGTTGTATTGAAGGCATATACAAGGGACTCGTTTTATTGGTTTTTATCAATGCATCCTTCTACATCAGATTCTTATGTGGACTGGACAAAACAGACTTTTCTTCAGTGACTACTGCAAGCTGGATGCAGTCATGGGGCACAGGATATTTGTTTTTCTCACCTATTTAATCAACAGAAAAAAAAAAATAAGTAAAAATCAATCTACCATCCAGGGAGGGGAATAAAAGGAGCTTGCGACGCTGAATTTTTTTTGAAGGTGCAAGCTCCTAAGATTTCTTCCTCCAATTACTATTTTGAGAGTAACTGGCCTGGAACGAGCATATACATAGTGGGACATGCATATCCATTTTCCAGATACTTGACCAAAGTGGAGAAGGAAGGACAAGGATTACAGCTGCAGAGCAAGCTCAGACAAAAATGTCAGTTTCTAGAATTTTATCTTGAACCATTGCTTTTAAATTGACACTATACAATATCCTTATTATCCAAAACTAATCTATACACATTCACTAATTAAATTACCCTGTTCTCTGTTTTTCATGAAAGTTTTTTTTTTGTACTCTTTGTAATGTCCTTCATGAGCTCCCAAACTTCTACCTTTCCCCTTCACTTACATTTGTTTGGAATGAGCAGTGTAAACTAGTTGTAGTCCTGCACACCACAAATCCCACAGTCCATCTCGGGAACAAGCAGGAGAGGGTGGCTATGTTCCTACACACAGTGGGACAACAAGATCGAATGTAGGCACCCTTTAATAGAAAACTCGATCACAGCAGCAAATGAGAAGAGGAATTTGAAGATTTGGAGGAGACCAAGAACAAAAAAAGGTACTTTTTTGAACTAAGAATACCTACTTGAAGTTGAATAGAATTTTTTTAAAGCAGGAGTAATTCAATGTTTCTAAAAGTGTAGGTGTAATAAAAAAACAAACTTTTTTTTTTTCAAATAGCGTTGGGAAGAGTTGAAACCCCTACCAGTATTTTTTTTTTTTTTTTTTTTTTTGATGTATGCACCATTGGGGAGATTTCTGTTTACTTCCTGTCCCAAAGACACAACATGAAGGTAAAGGATCTCTACCAAAATTATGTTCTCTGCTTAGACAGTATCCCCTAACCTTTTATCCTATTTGGGGAATCTCTACATTGGGGTAATGCAGACAGCAAAAAAAACTTAAGGGTTTAACTCTTCCCCACTTTATGAAAAAAAGAAAAAGAAAAAAAAAAAAAAAAAAAACACCCCTGCACACACACTACACAAACACGTGTCTATACTTTTAACCACTTCCCTACTGCCCTATAACAGAACTGTTGCTACAGGGTGACAGGGCTGCGCAAAATCACGTATCTAAGTGATTTTGCATTTCCGTGTAGGGGGCGGCTACAGCTGTCGATCACCAGGTCCCAGATGGAGATTCTCCCCCGGCCCCCGGTGATTGCCAAGGAACACTGACAGGGGAGAGGTCTGTATGTAAACAATACAGATCTCTCCCCCTGTCATCACCAGGATACTGCTTTGTATTGCTCTGCATAGCAGAGCAATACAAAGCAGCATGCTTAAAACACGCACAGTTAGTAAAACAGCACAGTTAACCCCTTCCTGCAGTGTCTGTACTTTTTATTAGCACTGATCACTGTATTAGTGTCACTGGCAGCTAGTCAGTTACCCCCAGTGTCAGTATGCCTGCCGCAGTCCCGCTATAAATCACTGCCATTACTAGTATAAAAACAAACAAAAATTCCAGTATATATACACTGCCCTTTGTAGACTCTATAACTTTCACGTTAACCAATTAATTTACACCTATTGGTATTTTGTTTTAGCGAAGACATGTAGCAGAATACATTTTGGCCTAAATTTATGACAAAATTTGATTTTTAAAATTTGTTTCACTGGACATGTTTTATAGCAAAAAGTAAAAAAAATGTTTTTTCCCCAAAATTGTTGGTATTTTTTTTGTTTATAGCGCAAAAAAAAAAAAAAAACCGCAGAGGTGATCAAATACCACCAAAAGAAAGCTCCATTTGTGGGGGAAAAAAAAAAAAAGGATACATTTTATTTGGGTGCAGCGTTGCATGACCGCGCAATTGTCAGTTAAAGTAACAGCACCTTATCGCAAAAAATGGCCTGGTCAGGAAGGGGGGTAAATCCTCTGTATGGCAAGTGGTTAATTTAGAGCAGTGTTCTCATGAAAATTACAACATCAGATGGCTGTTTATCAAGGAATAGTGCATCTAGACTAGAACATTTCTGGTTATCAAGCAATTTGCCATCACTTACCTGCAGCTCTTCAGCAGTGCTCACATCTAGCCCTGTTATTTCCTGTATCCTTGTGTTAATCCTTGAAATGACTGGATGCTCATAGCTAGATAGCCAAGCACTAGTATGAAGGAAAGATAAAACAATTTAATCTGGGTTTTTAAAATTGGCGTTTATTTTACATTCATGTCACTATGTAATGTTACCCAGAGGGGTCAGTGCTGCTCCTCTGCATACATATGAAAGGCTTCCATTAAACAAAAAAGTTGAATCTGTGTGTTGAGCTCCCAGAATTCATTGTTCATGCTGTGCATAGCTTGCCCTGATGCAGGTCATACAGTATTGATGGAACAAAGCTACAGCATTTAATTTACTTAACTGCATCTACCAGAATGCTTACTCAGCCAGTACTAATTAAGATGTATTTCAGCAAGAGCCAAAAAGCTGAACAGAAGGTTTCCCTGTTGTAAAAAGACACTTTCTTCTACACTTCACATTAAATGTAAAATACACTGGATGGCTGTCAATGGAAATTATTTGTTTAGTATGCATCCTTTGTATCTGCCCATCGGGGGTTCATTGTACAAATTGGGCTTCTCTGAACTAGCTAGCCTTGCATATAAAGTAATATCACTTCTGTTCTTCACAGGCAGCCAGACAGATCTTGGAAAAAGGGATAACTGTGGCTTATTTCTTCTGATTAGTGCCTGTAACAAACTCATTGGCAGGCTGAACTGCCCATGCAGATTATAAAAAAAAAAAAAAAAAAGGAAGAAGATTGACCCAGTTAGTGTTTTGTACACTAGGAAAATCAACATTTAAATCAGAAAATACAGCTGTTATATAGAGTTCTAAGACTGGACCAACAGACTGGATACCATTTAGTAAATTACAGTCTACTGCACTCAGTTTTTTTTTCTATGCGAATTTCAGCCGGTTTCTGAGGAACCATATGAAATTCACCTAACTCCCTTCAATTGTATCAAAAAATGTTTCCAATCACATGCAGCCACAGTTCAGGTATTCTGGCAGCCACTGGTGCCGGCTTTCAGAATACAATAGCAGCACCAGGGGATTCATCTATCTATCCTGTATAGTGTAGATGGAGAAATCGTGTTTGATTTTTTTTTCATTCAGCCTCGGATGGAATAAAAAAATAAAAAATTCTTTGTATGGTCAGTCTAAAGCCGGCCTTAGATGGTTGGAATATCGGAGGACAACTTCCACTGTTCAAAAAAAAAAAGCAGTTTTTTTTTAATCACCAAACAAAAAACACACACGATTTTGTAAGTTTGTCCATTTGCAAAGGAATGAAGTGTCTATAACTTTTATCATAGGTGTATTTTAAATGATAGAGGGAGAACGTCAACCAAAAACCCAGAAACAACTTCTGAAACAAATGTTCAGTGAGTAAAATAAGTATTTGATCCCTAAGCAAACACATACATACAGACACATTTTTCCCCAAAAAAAAAAAAGAAAAAAAAAGGAAGAAGAGGGAAATGGTATTCAGTAAAACAGACTCATGTTTTCCTTTTTAATGAGCAAACTATGATATGCATTAAATCCATTTATATTTTACACTGACTCTTTAGGAAGAATTCCTAAAATGCTAGCAGAAGGCAGTAAAATTCAGCCCATTTGCAACACATTACAGGAAGCACAGCTGAAAGTGCTGTGTAGACTGGCTTTAAGCCACCTCAAATTTGCCACGTACTGTACACTGGGATACAGTAGCCGACAAATAAAGTTTTCTGTAATTTAGAGAGGATTTTGTAGCCGTATTAGTGCATTTGCGACAGAAACAATTGAGTACTGTCCGTGATACTTTTTTTATTTGCACTAACATACAATTTTGAGGACAAGCTTTCGGGGTATGTCCCCTTCTTCAAAGTCCAAACAGTACTATTACAAATCACAAAGTTTAAGCAGAATGTTAGAAGGGATTGAGAAAAAAAAAAAAAGGCTACAGATAAGATACATCAAAAGCGAGGGGGGGGAGGGGGGGGGGAATACTACACTCACACAGAGGGGGTCAAGCTTCAGCTAATAGATAGTCATGAAACTGTCGGATAATGGTTGAGGAATCCCATGTCCAAGTTAAGGCCGTTATCTTTTGTGTCAAATAGAATTATCATTCTTAGTTCAAATGTTTTTCTTTCCTGGATGGATTTGAATTTTACTTTCAGAACTAAAACATTGAGGTCTTCCATATTGTGGCCTGGTTGTCCCCTACGCTTTTACGACTGAGAGGTCAAGGTTGGGTTTTCCTCATCATCACTACCTCTCAGACAAGCCTTGGCCTGGGCGAATCACCTTATGGAGTGAATGACCCTGTGATTCACGACTGTTTACGTTTGTCGAATGCTTTCCGTAGGGTATTCGATGTACCGGCTCGCTCCGCCCTCGGCTGCCAAGCTGCTCATGTCTATGCTATCAGGGTTCACGGAACGTGGACTCCGAGTACGCCATAGAGTTTCGTTACCCTGGCAGCAGAGGTGGGTTGGAACAATGAAGGCCTCTGGAGGACTGAAATGGTGTCCTACAGGTGTGCAGAGGTCATCTTCTTTATGTTCCTTGATGGTATGTCTGTGCAAATTCATCCTTGTTTGCAACTTCTGTCCTGTTTCGCCAACATAAGATCCTTTGCTGCATTTTCTGCACTGGATAAGGTAACAACATTACTGGAGGTGCAGCTGTATGATCCCTAAATATTGAAGATCCCTTTTGAGTGTCTGACACTTTTTGATGGATTGATTTGGTTGCACAGCTTGCAGCGTTTCTTATTGCAGGGTGTGCTTCCATTATTTGTGACATCATAATCAGAAGGAAGTTTCCTACTGATTAGTTTATTTCTGAGGTTTGGGGGTTGTCTGAAAGCCAGTATTGGGGGTTGCTGGAATATTTCTCAGAGTTCCATCCTCTGTTATGATGGGTTGTAAATCTTTGATTATTTTTCGTATTCCTTCTAGTGCTGGGTTGTATGTGGTTACTAGGAGGTACACGGTTGTTTGTTTTTTTTTTCTCTTTGTACTGAAGTATCTTATCTGTAGCCTTTTTTTTTTTTCTCAATCCCTTCTAACATTCTGCTTAAACTTTTTGATTTGTAATAGTACTGCTTGGACTTTGAAGAAGGGGACATACCCCGAAAGCTTGTCCTCAAAATTGTATGTTAGTGCAAATAAAAAAAGTATCACAGGCAGTACTCAATTGTTTCTGTAATTTAGAGCAAATTCAGCTGTGGCCTAGAAAGGGGAGTCTTAAAATAGGAGACACCCTAAAGTCAAAGCGGCTATATGACAAATACTTAATTTTACTGAATGGGAAGTATGCAGATCAGGAGTCTAGACTGTACTTGATGCATACTTGGTTTAAGTCCATGAACAAACAGCCTTCAGATTATCAAGACAGCCAGGTAGATATTTTTCAGCTGACATTTAAAAATGGTAGCCTAGATTTGTATCAAGTCAGGTTTTTTTTTTCGTTTTTTTCGGGAGAGGAGGAAAAACTACCAACAACATGAGGACTATACTGCTTTGTGTCCACTTCACATACATTATATAAAAATCTAACAAAAACTATAAAACACACACGAAAAGAAAAGAAAAAAAAAAAAAAAAAAAAAAAAAAAAAAAGAAGAGGAAAAACTAATGTTGCAATTAGGAAGTGAGGAAATCTCAGGGAGGAAAATATACACTCCTGGACTGCCCTTATTGGAAAATTTCCTCCCTATTGTTCTCTAGCAACAGTTTAAAACAAATAACGTAAATAATAAAGTAAATATTCCAATGAAAGTGAATGCACACTGAAAGCAGTTTTTGTTTGTTTTTTTCTTTTTGTAGTTTGTCCTTGTACTTGTACATGTTGTGGCAATATTTACTCCTTACATGTATTACAAATACAGACTATTTCTTGTGTGAGCCACGCTGATCCTAATATTATTCCCAGTGTACTAGCTAGACTATTTATAATATTCAATAGAGAAGATGGGACTTTCAGGGGGCATAGACATGAACACCACACATTAAAAGTTATATAATTTTTATTTCGTATTTTGGTAAAACACAAGAAAGGAAAGAAATACAAAAACAATTTCAATTCTAAGAATACCAACTGAGATTCAAGCTTGGTAGGTAAATGGAGTATACTCCATTTACCTAACAAAGTTTGAATCTCAGTTGGTATTCTTAGAATTGAAATTGTTTTTGTATTTCTTTCCTTTCTTGTGTTTTACCAAAATACGAAATAAAAATTATATAACTTTTAATGTGTGGTATTCATGTCTATGCACCCTGAAAGTCCCATCTTCTCTATTGATTATTTGCAATTTTAAGGGATGTGGTGCAATAATCATATCTGGTCACTCGCTCGCCACTTCACCGTTTCATGTATCTAGAATCTACTCTCTACTGATGTGAGGAAGAATCCCCGCTGGGTGAACACATCAATTATTGCTAGCAGCTGCCAATAATCGCATCTAAAATCAGTCAGGCTGGTTGTGCCCAAATTGATCGATCAACTTGGGTACATTCAGCCTGCCTATATACATGGTTTGAATCTCGAATGGTTCCTGCTGAACTGGCCAAGACTCGAACAGTCTATGGCTGGCTTAACTCACACAGCTGGAAGACAGATGCTTAGGACAGTAGTGAGCAGAAGCAGCTGCCTAATGGAATACAAATCAATACGCATTACTAATGTGAAAGGGACGGACTGACTGACACACACCTTAACTTTTGCCACATTTTGTTATGTTACAGCCTTATTCCAAAATGGATTCAATTACTTTTTTTTTCTCAACATTCTACAAACAATACTCCATAATGACAATGTGAAAGACGTTTGTTTTTTTTATTTTTAATAAATTGCAAAGATTTCAAAACCAACAAAACCACATGTGCATAAGTATTAACAGCCTTTGGTCAATACTTTGTTGAAGCACCTTTAGCACCAATTACAGCCTCAAGTCATTTTGAGTATGATGCTACAAGCTTGGCACACCTATTTTTGGCCAATTTCTCCCATTCTTCTTGCAGTACCTCTCAAGCTCCATCAGGTTGGATGGGGAGAGTCAGTGCACAGCCATTTTCAGATCTCTCTAGAGGTGTTCAATCGGGTTC